GCTGTGCGTACTCAGCCAAAAACATCCCAAACCCACGGCCTTCGAGTTGATTCTCAACTCACAGAGACCCCAGATGGGGTTTTCAGGGCTGTCAATCTTTACGGGAGCAGACAGCCTCACTTTTCTGCCACAGAGTGACTAGCAGGTTTGAACCACTGACCCTGAGGTTAGCAGTCCAGTGCTTACCCAACAGTGCCACCAGGGCCACCCTGTGCATCTCCCAAAGAGCCATATCAGGACTGAGCCCCTGGCACCGCTCTCCTTTCCTTGGGAGCTAGCAGGGCCCTGCTTCCAGAGCCGTGTTCCCAGCGCTGCTCTCTCAGCCTCTTGGGAAGAACACTAAGCAGCTCATGTGTCTCCATGGGCTTCTCAGTGTGAGGGCACTTCTGTCCTCCCCTTAGCAGAAGGAAGTTCACCGGCCCTCTCTCCCCACAGCCTCCCCTCTTCCCCAGGGACCACCACTCCTATTTCTCCTGAGCTTCACGCTCCACCTGTCTGGCTGCAGGCTCAGAAGCTGGGCGTGCTGGGACCCTGAGCGCTCTGACTGGCGTCTGCACCCCGTTGCTGAGGGCCTTCTCTTGGTTTGAATGCCAGGGAACAAATCATCCGGCTGCAGGGGCAGGTGGACAAGCAGTATGCGGGGCTGAAGGATGTGGCGGAGGAGCGGAAGCGGAAGCTGGAGAACATGTACCACCTGTTCCAGCTGAAGAGGGAGGCGGACGACCTGGAGCAGTGGATCTCGGAGAAGGAGCTCGTCGCGTCCTCCCCAGAAATGGGGCAGGACTTTGACCATGTCACGGTGAGTCGGGTCCTTCCTCCCTCTGAGGCAGCGCATCGCCTCCCACACGGCACCAAGGGTTAAGTGTTTGAGGACTTGCCGCAAGGCCACGGTCTTAACCACCTCGTGGGATGCGCTTCATCCACTCCATACCCACGGGCTCACACCCATCACTGCAGTAGAGACAAGCCAGCCTCTGCCCCAGACCCACACAATATGCCCCCTGGGAAAGTCTGCAGCCATCGTGGGGAGGTTGGAGGGGGCGGGCAGCCCCACTCCTCGACTCTGGTAACCGCCTGTCTCACGACTCCCCCGTCCAGCTGCTTCGAGACAAGTTCCGGGACTTCGCCCGAGAGACTGGGGCGATCGGGCAGGAGCGGGTGGACAACGTGAACGCCGTCATCGAGCAGCTCATCGACATGGGCCACGGCGAGGCGGCCACCATCGCCGAGTGGAAGGACGGGCTAAATGAGATGTGGGCGGACCTGCTGGAACTCATCGACACGCGCATGCAGCTGCTGGCCGCCTCCTATGACCTACACCGGTACTTCTACACGGGCACCGAGATCCTGGGCCTCATCGACGAGAAGCACCGGGAGCTGCCTGAGGATGTGGGGCTGGACGCCAGCACCGCCGAGTCCTTCCACCGGGTGCACACCGCCTTCGAACGGGAGCTCCACCTCCTGGGTGTGCAGGTCCTGTCCCCACTGCTTCCCCACGGCCATCTCACCCAGGGCGCCCATGGGGTGAGGGGGTGGGGCGCGGAGAGCAGTGCCTAAGACAGGTTTGGCCACCAGGGTCTCAACCTCAGGATTCTGGCTCTGGAGCCAGTTTCCCGGTTCCAAGCCTTTCCCCTCTCTAGTGGGCGCCCAGAGGAGCCCACCACCCCAGAGAGGCACCTCCTGAGGATAGCCAGGCAGGGAGCAGAGATGCTAGCTCCAGAAGCAGTTCCTCAAACTGAATCCTCACAAAAACCCAACGTGTATAATACGCCCAAATTCCATTTATCTCATTGTACATTATTAGCTAACACATATTGGCGGGGGGGCTCAAAAAACTTGTGGAACAATTCCACTGGTTTTTCATTTCATTTTCCCATGAACTTTTGGAAGTCCCTTGAATAGCACTTTTCTGGTGCCAGGCGCACATGTCCTAAGTCACCGAGCGCTCCTAGGTGGGTGCTGCTTGGATCTATACTTGGCAGAGGAGGAAAGTGAGCCAGAGGGAGGTGATCCCCAACACCATCACCACACGGTGGAGTCAGATTTACACCCTGGTTGTCTTGCTGTATAGACTCCATACAGACTGAATCACCTGGCTAGTTGCCTTTCACATCAAAGCTAGATCCCCTACTCAGATCCCCTCCCCTGTCACTAGCGGGCCCCCTGAAGCACCAGTACAAATCCCCCAGGGACCCAGGTGTGCAAGAAACGCATGGGTGAGGGGCCCAGCTGCCAGAAGCTGGCTGGGCTATATGTAGGAGGGACAGGCGAGCCAGGGTTCGGAAATCAGCCACCAATGAGGGTAGGCCCCTGGTCTACCCAGAAGGGGGACATCCTGGGAATGTTTCCTGCAGCTAGAGGTGGGTGCCAGCATGGAGGCTGTTGTGCTCTGGGCAGGTGGAAAGGGGTAGCGCTTGGTGTAAGGTAGGGCAGCGGTGCCTGAGACCTCCCACCACTGTTTCCACCTCAGGAGTCTGGCTCAGAGTGGGGTTTCATGGCCCCTGGTGCCGGGACAAATAGGAGTTTGCCCCACGCCTTTCTGGGTGAAAGGAGCCCTGGAGCTGCTGTAGGATACTCACTGGGCTGCTAACCACAAGGTCAGCGGTTCAAACCACCAGTTATTCCATGAAAGAGAGACGAGGCTGTCTGCTCCCATATAGACTTACAGCCTCGGAAGTCCTACACAAGGTCACCACAAGTCGAATCGACTTGGTGGCAGTGGGTCTTGGGCTTTCTTGGAGAGGTGACCTGCACGGTGGTCCAGAACTTGAACTCTGGAGCATAGCCACGTCCAGCTGTACCCCTGCCCAAGAGTGAGCGACCTTGGTTGGGCAAAGCAATGCTGCCACCTAACACCTCATTTTCCTTATCTGAGAACCAGAGGTCCTAACAACGTCTCATGGCATTGTAATCACTGTCAAGAGTCCAGGATGACTGGCACGTAGTTAGTTACTCTTGTTATTATCCCAACCAAGATCACAGGGTCTAGAGCCCCTCTTCCACGTCCTCATCAAAGCTCAAAGACCACCTTGAGTAGGTAAGGCTGTCAAGACAAGGAGCTGCGTTCCCCCCACCCCACCACTTTCCTCAGAGCTCTGGCCACTCCTTCAACCATGCCCCCAACTGCATGGCCAAGAGGAGACATGCTCTGGCCAGTCCCGTCTCTGTCCGGAGAACAATGTCCAGTTTTACCCAATCACAGGTACAGCAGTTCCAGGACGTGGCCACCCGTCTGCAGACGGCGTACGCCGGGGAGAAAGCCGACGCCATCCAGAACAAGGAGCAGGAGGTGTCTACTGCGTGGCAGGCACTGCTGGACGCCTGTGCTGGTCGCCGCACCCAGCTGGTGGACACAGCCGACAAATTCCGCTTCTTCAGCATGGTTCGCGACCTCCTCTCCTGGATGGAGAGCATCATCCGACAGATTGAGACGCAGGAACGGCCCAGGTGAGAGGATGGCCCTGGAACACGCAGGCTGGGGCACCTGCCTGGAGGGACACTGAGGCCTGAGGACTTCCCCCAGGCTTCTCCTGGAAGAAGCTTGGAAATTTCCATAGTGAGAAGAGTCCAAAGTGGGGTGAGAAGGGCATGCATCTGCCGTTCAGAGTCCACAATGAGGTCACTGGCCACTGGTGTCTGTGACAACAGTGACTCATACATCCAAGACTGACTATCCGTCCCTAGCAGTAAGGGGTAGGGAACCATCCCTCCCACCCAAACTCAAGAAGACCAGATCCATGGGAAGTGGGTTAGGGAGAGAACCAGCGGGGTCCGAGCTGTCTCCACTGTGATTCCCAGTTCCATATGTGTCACTTAGCGATTATCACGGCCCCTCCTCATCCCTCTGCCCTTCCTGATCGTCAGACATTTAAATGTGCCTCACTGAGCACAGTTCTGACACACACATGGGGATGCCAGGGTCAACTTGATGACAATTGGTTGGTCTTTATCTACTCTATATATGCACACGCACACACGGGTATGTATGCACATTTATTTGTTTAAAACAAACCTACTGCCGTTGAGTCTGTTCCAGCTCAGTGGCCCCATAGGACCCAATAGAACTGCCCCCTTGGGGGCTTCCTCCTGCAGATTATCCTAGATATATGTCTGTTGAGAAGTGTATAGGTCAGACTATCCACTTCGGCCACTGGTTTGGAGTATACATGCACGGAGCTGTGCGACCATCCACACAGTCCGAGTTGCAATGGTTTTCTTCACCTCAGAGAGAATCCCCGCCCCATGAGCAGCCCTCATTCCCTCCTCCCTGGCCTCAGGGGATTTCCTGTTCTGGACAGTACCCATCCCCGGAGCCATGCGATGTGACATCTTGTCTCTTTCACATGGCATGATACTTCCCAGGTTCATCATGCTGTGGCATGAATCAAAAGCCCATTCCATCTTTATCACCAAATAATGTCCCCAGCCTTCTTTTGAGGGACCCTGTTCCCCTAGGCTGGGTGGCAGAGAGCTTTCTGATGGCAAGGGAGGGTCCAGGCCCCGGAGGCAGGTGACAGGTGGGAAATGGCCGGTGGCCCCTAATGATCAAGACAGCCTCTGACAGGCCCAAGTGGCCCTGACCCAGTCTTCATCTTCCCCACCCCGTCCTCCTGCCCCAGGGACGTCTCTTCTGTGGAACTGCTCATGAAGTACCACCAGGGAATCCAAGCCGAGATTGAGACCCGGAGCAAGAACTTCAGCGCCTGCCTGGAACTCGGCGAGTCCCTGCTACAGCGGCAACACCAGGCCTCCGACCAGGTGCCTCCAACAACGATGTG